TACCCGTCCTCGTTACAGAGGACGAGGAAGCATATTACGAGAGGGAACGAGGGTTGATTCGACGAATGAGGGAAAGTACTTTAGCAGGGCCGTGTCGTATCAACGAAGGGAACGAGAAGGAGTTGATCATAGGGGAGTCTGATTTCCTGCTGCCTCAGGAGCGAACGTTGATGGTGGAATTAATGAAGAGGAAGCATCGCGCCTACGCGTTTAGTGATGAGGAGCGTGGGAGGCTGGATGTAGACAAGATACATATGATCCGCATCCACACCGTGCCACACGAGCCTTGGAACATGAGAGGGGCGCGATATCCCAATCCTGACGAGGAAAGGAAGGTGGTGGATTACCTCGACGGCAAGATACGTACTCACGTCGCCGACTATTCAAGCGGACTGTATGCGTCCCCGTGGTTCTGCTTTATTAAGCCTAACGGGACGCTGCGGTGGGAGCAGGATTTGCAAAGACTGAATGCAGTGACCGTGCGAGATGCTGGAGGACTGCCAAATGCAGACGCGCTATTGGAATCCTGTGCTGGAAGGCCTATAATTTTGCTTATAGACCCTTACTCAGGATACGATCAGTTCCCTGTCTACCCGCCGGATAGGCCGGTGACGGCTATGCACACGTTGCGAGGATTAGTCCACATGAACGTGGCCCCACAAGGGTGGACCAACGCAGTAGCAATGGTCCAACGGGCCATGATTCGGGCCATGCAGCCAGTCAGCCCTCATATCACACAGCCATACATTGACGATTTGGCAGTGAAGGGGCCGGCGATGAAAGAGAGCGACAAAGTCTCACCAGGGGTAAGGCGCTTTGTCTGGAAACACATCCAGGACCTCGAAAAGGTCCTTAGCCTGCTCGAAGAGCATAACCTCATGGCAAGCGGGGCCAAATCCAGACACTGCATGAGGGAAGCGACTATCTTGGGGATCGTCTGCAGTGAGAAGGGCCGAAGGCCGGATGTGAAGAAGACGGACAAGATTACTGAGTGGCCAGTTCCGTTCCACTCAATAACTGATGTCAGGAGCTTCCTTGGTACGTGTGGATTTTGGAGGGTCTTCGTCAAAAACTTTGCCGCTAAGACTGAATACATGAGGAAGTTGATCCGTCAGGATCAGGAATGGGTATGGGGTAAGAAACAAGAAGAGGTGGTGGCAAAAATGAAGGAGGAATTTCGAGAAGGAGGGTTGGTGTTAGGAGCGCCAGATTATGACGCCACAGAGACGCGACCCTTCATTATTGAAACGGATGCGGGACCGACTGCCTTAGGGGGAGTTCTAATTCAGGCAGACATGGAAGGAAAGGAAAGACCCTTGCGATTTGAGAGCCGGACTCTCTGTACAACGGAGAGGAACTACTCTCAGTTCAAGAGGGAGACCCTTGCTGTCCTCCACTGTCTGCGAATCTTCCGGAACTATATCTTCGGCAGGAGGTTTATTTTGAGAGTGGATCCGACC